GTAGCTGCATATAAAAGTCAAAATTTTACTAAGTTAATTGATATTTATGTATTAAGAAAAGTTGTTTGGAGGAATAAGTCTTCTTTACGTTTTACATTTGTATAAAAAAATTTTAAATTTTTTGTACAAATGTAAAACGTAAAGAAGACTTAACAAAAGTTATTACAATTACTTGAAATCTTCAAAATATATGTAATTTATTCTTCCAAACAACTTTTCTTAATACATAAATATTAATTAACTTAGTAAAATTTTGACTTTTATATGCAGCTACAATTATCGATTAGTAAAATAATAGTGTCTGATAATTTTTATATTAGCTTCTGACCAATAAAATTGCTTTATATGTAAATGACCCAAATGACCTAATGACCTGGTCATTATTTGATGACTCAAGGTTATTAGTCATTTGAGCAAATGACCTAGTCATTTATCATTACTGTTAGGTAATAGTGTTATTAATGTGAGTGATTTATTTAATAAAATTGGAACTTTATTATTTTTAATGAAGCAAAGATGAGACTTAATTCTCTCAAGGACTATTCCAGCCTTTATTTATAATATATTTCTCTTAAATATATATATTACATTTATTAAACATATTCCCTATATCTCATATATTTTGCATAGGTCGCATTCATTATATGTGTCGTATGTATCGCATGCGACATATACAACGAATGTGACATATGCGACTTGTCCCACTAGTTTGTGTTCCAAAAGGAACGTGACTAGTCAGTCACATTACTTGTCATAGTTTCTTTTCCTTATTCTCTTCTTCACAGTATGAACGCGAAATATATTTACAGCATTTTGCTGTAATTTAGTAATTACTCCTGAGTATTATCTGTTTATATTGTCACAGAGAGTTTTGTCATGAGATAGCAATTATTACCAAATTTCCAAGAACATAAAAATAAAACTTATTGCTTTTTTGTCAAGATGAAATCGTTGCTACTACTCCACCTATTTCCACTTTGGAGTTTCTTGATAGAACCTAGGCCAATAAATTTATATCAGAAACAGGTGAAGATTTAAATGGAAAGATGTGTATTTTTTTATTTTGCAGGGTTAAGGCAACTTATAGTCTCGGTGCAATACACGTTCTGCCTATGAGAATTACTGGGTATGACCTCCTGGGTAACCACTCCTAGAACCTCTATTCGGGTACCCTAACTTTGTCATTAGTTGAGGTCTGTTGTTCTGAAGAAGGAATCGGCTATGTATCTTTCAATATATAGAGGCCTGCTAGTTTTCAGATTTTAAATTAAGGATTGGATCCAGGCTATATAGTTACTCGAATAACTAGAAATCTTTATCCAAATATTATTAAATTATCCTTAGCAAAAAATAACTTAGAAATATACTTCGAACTGAAAATTCAACGGGTCCAATCTCTATTTTAAATTATTTGATTTTTGACATACCCTCACCACTAAATAAAAAATTACACACTGTTAACATTGGCAAATACTTTTATTACAATAGGTTGATTCAGAAAGACAACGTCTAAAAAATCTTATTGGAAAGAAGTAATTGAAGAATCTAGAATAGTAAGTGCCGCATCATATTCATTTATGAGCATAATGACTTGTCTTTGAAAGTGCTTGTACAAGATTTCGCTTAAGAAGTACAAACTCCTACATA